CTTTAGACTTATTGCATGCCGACGCCAAGCAAACTTCGCTACCAGTCAACGATGCCTTTTCTCCCTCAGACCAACCATAAGGCGACTGGCAGCGATCATAGACGGTCTCGTTGCCATAGGCAGATGCTAGATGGTCGGAACTAGAGGACGAAGGAAATATGTCATGGGTAGATGGGGAATTTATTCCCTGATAAGGTGGAGAACCAGGATGTAGATTGGTTATGGAGGGAACCAGTGACCCTGGAATGCAACTGGCAGAGCCGAGAAAACGATTTAGGCTGGCTAGATCGTTCTCAAGCTGGTTAATCAGAGCATCACGAATTTCCAGAGTCTGATTCAATTCAGCTTCCGAGACACGAAGTTTGTGCAGCTCGACTGACAACATGGTAAACGAATGAATAAAGAAGGGAGTACATAAAATAAAAGCGTAAGCGAACAACATTAGCACTGGCACTCAATGCAAAATTAAGTAATATTAGGCTGATATAAAGATAACTGTAAATTCTTTTAATGTATAGACGTGGCTTGAGCTGGCTCCAGCCCCTTGGTCCTGTTTTCAAGGCAGCCTATACAAACAACTTGTCAGAATTCCTCTGCCATAGAAGTAACAGCAATTTCTATTGTCGGACAATGGGCTTGGTACAATCCATCGTCAGTAAGTTCTCTCACTCCTAACAACAACCTACAACTTGTCATTGAGACTTTCTGATGAACTATTGTAATGTCACTTTTCCTTTAATACTAATGCATCTATATACCCCTTTTCATAATATCCCAATCCTTCTTAAGTCGACCAAAGAAGCACACAATCTTGTAGCTGCCGGATCTCAAGAATGGGTCATATTTCTTTCTAAAATAAGGCACAACCAAAAAATTTATGAGGGCTTCCTTGAGCACTGTTTATATCCTCCGATTTTTCACTAGTTCTCCTATCTTTTTGGAAGAAGCATAACGACAAAATCAGGACGTAAAAAATGTCTCTGCTTGTCTATCTTTGACCAAATAGTCTCAGCCGGAAAATTTATTCCTCAGTAAAGAAATATTATTCTCAATCAGGCCCAATGGATGATTGTTTTCCAGGAATAAATCTTTCTGTCGTTCCAACTCTTTAGTCAATTGGTTGCTATCCGTTAGTCTCATAATCTTAATGATCACTGACTTCAAAATTCCAACCTTAGTTTTGTAATTATAGTCGGAAAGAAAATTTAGGAGATAAACAACATATGATGGCCTATAAACATCTCTTCAAAACTTATCCTCTTCTCTAATAATAAGAACATCCAAAAAGGGTAAGTACCTATTATATTCCATTCCCGTTGTGAACCTAATCTTCCTTTCACATACGAGATTACATAGACCCAATCCTGCCATTCTTTGGTCGGTTAAACCTTAATGACCCTAGACTGAGAGGTTTCGTAGCTTGACTTACACGTTTACAAGATTATAGCTCATTATCTCAATCATACTTAATTGAGGACAAGGCTTTTTCTTAGATAATCAAGTCGCGATGACCAGAGACCGACATTTTGATCACTCTGATTTAGGACCGGTATTGTATATAGACGTTAACACACACATACACAAACTCGAGAAAAAGTGGCAGCACCAATAAGAAAGATATTAAGCCAACCCATTCTATTTATATCCAGGCCCAGTCATTTTCTTTTTTATTAATAAGTCTATATAAGAGGTAATATAGAGCCGGGTAGCCTTCTTGACCTGATGTTAACGTAAAACTTTTAAAGGAATGAGTTCGAATTCTGATGATGTCGGTCATATGATGGATGTAGCTAAACCCGTTTTCACCCGAAACAAGGGAAGATTTCTCGTGGAGTGCTTCAATCTGAAAGTCATATTAAATCCAAACGGCTGCAATACGGGAAACAGCTGTCATCTTCTGGTGATATAAACCTACGAATCTCTTCTTCAATCACTTTTATACGAAATGAATTTCTCCTTAACAATAATGACTATTATTTCAACCATTGATCCTTAATTTTGTTACCCCAAGTTTCCTCTCTCTCTCCGAAGTTTTTGCCTTAAAATTCGGAATACCTTTCCATAACGTCTATTTTTCTATGCAAGGCTGAGGCATTATACATAATAGCGCTAAGACGAGTACATATCCACAGTGGCAAAAATATCACACACAAAATCATAAAGCAAATTTCAGTAAACACCGAGAAAGCAAGCGGTGTTTTTAAAATATTTATAGTTAAAGGAACCTTTAAAAATATAATTTATACTGAATTCTTTGTAGTAGTGGATCAATAACTTCCTACAATCTTCAAAATATACCGACGAAAGGCCGAAATATATAGTTGAACATCGGCAAGATGAATGAAATAGAATGTAAAAAATTACAAAATTCTGGAAAGAGTTACGTTTTTCCAAATCTCCCTATAAGCAAAGAAAATTTAGTAAAAAACTGAAACCAAATCTTGGCAATAAAGATGCAACCTTATTTTTACCCAAGCAATTTATTACAAAATGG